TATTTCTGGATCTGTACTAATTTGATAGATAGATAGATAGATAGATAGATAGATAGATAGATAGATAGATAGATAGATAGATAGATAGATTAGTGACTTGCGGTGAGGTTCATACCTGGTGAGGAACCGACTTAATTATAATCGGATTTACAAATCTAGACCCCCTGCATGTTATTGTTTACATAAGGAAATTTCTCGCATGCTACAATGCTGGAGGGCAAAAAGGCTATTCCTTTACATGCCATTCATGATTCCGTGATCTCAATCAAACTTAGACATGTAGATATTATTAATTTCGTGCTGTGCTTAACAGCAAAGGGAGAATCCCTTAAAGTACAACTCAAAACCACGTCTTTCTCGCTCTCTGTATCAGAGCAGCTACTGTATTGCTAACTCGCTGTTACCGTCTCTTACTCTGCAGTTGTGCAGTCACACTGTCTGGGTTCATGAGCGCCCCCAGCGATGAGACACAAGAACTGCCAGCCTCACCTCTACTCAAATAATATGCCATTTATGATCGCTCCTCAGCACACGAAACACGTTACACACACAGCTGGTGACAATAAAAACACAGTACATTAAATACATAAGCTAAATAATTGAAAATCAGTTCATACATTAAAGGTTTTCAACCATTTTATTGCCGGCGTACAGACAGGAGGAGCATGCTCCCATAGAATGGCAGCCAGTGCAGTTAGCGAGAGGTTGCGCAACCCCAGGTGAGGCTCAGCTCGCTGCTGCCTCACCGGCTTCGCTTCTGAGCATTTGAATGGGAAAATGGGAAAATTCAGCGATTTTGAAGAAAAAATAATCCGATTTGGTTAAATGAAATGAAAAATAGGTACTTTATAGTACAAACCACAGGGTGAAAATATCTTTATAAATGATTTAATTATTATATATTATTTTTCCGCCTCACCTGCCTCCCCTGACCCTGCGCATCACTGATATATATATATATATATATATATATATATATATATATATATATATATATATAAAAAACAATATAATACATATATAATATATTCACACATGCCCTGCTTCGTAATCCACCATGCTGTTAACCATAACAGCATTTTCCATCATTTCACCCAATCCATACATGAAGTTTTACAGCAGATGCTGTATAAGTTGGTCTCAGTGTAAAAATGTAATTTGAATCCAGAAGAATTGCCCTTTTAATAATAAATGTAACTGAAATGGTGCTATTTGTTTCTCATCATTCTAGTTTCATTACAATGAAAGTTGTGCAATATGTGTAAAAGCAGCACATAAAGATGCATATAAACTGATCATTTCATTTTGTTTCCTTCCAGTTTGTTTATTAGCTCCATTGAGCTCTTTAGCGGCCCCTTATAGTGGAACTGTGCTTTCCGTCAGTGGAAGATAGCTGTCCAGAACCTGGCTCTGCAGTGATGTGTCCTTCATCCACCTCTCCCCCTCAATCCAACCCCAGCAGAGGGCTGTAAAAGTTTTCACTGAATTGTAAAAAATGGTAATGCTGCCACTGGTCTGGAATCAAATATGCTGCACGTGAAATTTATTTGAAATCTCATTGGGAAGATACGGGTGGCACTTGCTCTGGACTCGGGTGCCAGTTAAATCGCGTCCATTACCCCTACCCTTCCCCATCTTCCTCTTTCCTGTCACATCACATCCCCTCTCACTATCCTCTTTGAAATTCATGGACTTTCTTATCTCTATTTTAGAAATAATAATTGTAATTCCCAACAGTCTGCCAGAAGTGCTTAAAAATTGGACAGGGCTACACCAGTAAGCAAATTCATGTAAAAAAAAAAAAAAAAAAAAAAAAAGACCCCAAAAATGTGCAGAAGACCAACAGCAGGACTGTAGAACAAGTTGTAATGACATTAAAAAGCAAAAATATTCTTCCTAATTAATAATGTGGGTCCAATCAAAAACAGTATTTTTTGATGGTAACCAACCTACCTGTTATAGAGCTGTCCAAGTTGTCCATGCTAGACCCTGGTGTGTGCTCGATACCACGGGGATGTCTGGCTCCATAGCCCTCATCCTCGTCCTCATCCTCCTCTTCGTCCTCCTCGTCTTGCAGGTCAGTCTCCAGGTCGGAAACCATTGTGCTCGACACATAGCCCACTGGCGGAGCTGGTGCCAGGGGAGGACGAGAGCCTCCCTGCATGTGCCTGGGAAGGGAAACTTCATAGACTAGGTGAATATAGCGGAGTACAAAAATTCTGCGATTCTGGTGCTAAAAGCAAGACGTAAAGTTATTGTTCGAGGCTTGCCTCACATCAATGGTTGAACAACTTTAAACAAATCCGCTAATTCCAAAGGTCAGTTTGCATGCTAGTAACACAATGACCTGGTGGTTGCATGCGTGGATGATACGAAGGCATCCTTCTCGGGGGCCTGTCAACACATGGCTGTCACCTTAGTGGCTGACAGCCGCGTTTGTTAGAGGGAGTGCAAAGTGTTTGACGCAGTTTGCAGTGGGAATTGGTTGTAATTACTGGCCCTCTGGGGTTGTCAGAGATGCTCTCTAACCAACATAGTCATTACTGGGTAACATGACATCTTCTTCCTGACAAGGCATCCCTGATTCCCCCACCCCCCACATCACAGCCCGCTTCACGATTATGAATGAATGCCAGTCTCTGGTTACCTCAGCGTCGATGACAGAATGAAGCATGGCCTTCATCTGACTTGCATGAGCACAACAACAATGGAATCCGGAATGTATGTGTGTAGGGGAAGTAAACTACCATAGGCATGAAATTGTGTCTGTTGGAGTAAGCAAAATGTAGTTGTTGCTTAGAGTGGTAGCATGGGCCTATTAAAGTTGAATGATTGGTTTGTATCCGTGACACAGAGTTCATGTGTGGAAAAACAGCTGAATAAAAGTTAAAACTTGCAAAAACAAGCAATCAGAATCTGTGTGACGCATTTTGAAAGTAAATTACCTGTTTCAACTGCCAAAAAAATACCACATGGTTACCTAAATACATTCACTAGCCAGATAGCTAGCTAACTGTGATCCTGTGTAGCCAGACTGCTAGCTGAAAATGAAGACAAATACTTTTTTCCCTCCAAAATAGAGCTAAATCATAATACTCAAACTTATTTTCAGATAAGTTACATCTGAATGAGTTATCTAAAAAGCTAGCAAAGTGGCTATAATGTTAGGTAGTTGCATCAAGGACTTTTTCCTTCCTAAAACAAAATGTAACTAACATTTTCAAATATTAAAAAAAATTGTTTTTAGTATAAATCATCCTCAATTTATCAATAAATTATCTAAAGTAGGTTATATCTTGATAACTTAGCCAGATAGCCAACTAGCTAGCTAGGCAAAGTGATTTGCAGGCTAATATAAAAAGTACTTCATAATATTTCTTACATTTTTTACTTCAAATGACTAAGACCATCTTGTAATCTTTTTAGGTGAGCTTGGATCATTGTTGTTAAAACATAAAGTTTAGAATGCAAAATAATAATAAATCAATCAGTGTTACATAGACATTAATATAAAAGCTTTGCAATCAGGTTATTATAGGTTCTTGTAACATTTTGTTGTTAGCCACTAGAAATAAAATACAATTTCTTGCATCATTTTTTGGTAAATCTGTGAAACAACATTCCAAATATAAAAACGCTGATACTTTCTATGGCCTATTTGCTTGGATTTTTTTCTTATTTCTTAAGAGAAATGCTATTCGCCTCATTTCAGTCCACCTCTTCTTTTGTCCCACAGACAGCCACTTTAACCAATTTAGAAAAACAAACAAAAAAAAAAAAAACAAAACAGAAAAAATCGCTGTACAGTATCTGTCAAGGTCAGGTATATGAATGGTACTGAAAATTAGTAAAAAAAAAAAAAAATCCAAAAGACCCAGCAGGTCCAAAGAGTGAATCTGGAATACCCTTAGAAGGTCTAGAAAACATGACATCAATTCAGCACAGTATATAGGTCAGTGCATGCAAATGTACCATGTCTGTTTAGCCATGTCCAGTTGGTATGCTCTGGTCAGCTCATCCAGATGGGCCTGGAGCATGGGCTGCATCTCATCCTGGGGAGATGGGGTGAGGGTGGCTGTGGACTGCTGTCCAAAAGAGACGGCAGCCGGTGAGGAGGCCACTCCTCGGATGGGTGGCGTGGGAACCCTTTCCTCCTCTTCTTCCAGCTCATCTTCCATGCCTTGATGAAGGTACGTCTGCACAGGCATGGGTGGGCCCCAGGTGTCATTCTCATACCTGAGGTAAGAACGGAAACCACCCAGCCAAGAGATTTGTATTTTACAAAAATAAATCCACAGAAAGCATTTTCTGATTACAAGAGAACAATCTCTGCACAAACATGAACCTCTGTGACCTTGTCCAACTTAAGAAGGGGTTTGTTATACGACTGGTTTGAGTAAAATTATAGTGCTTGTCAGGCTTCATTTCCTCATAGCTGTGCTTACACGTGATGAAATAATACAAGCCATAAAGAAAAATGTTCATTAAAGAAATTTGTCGGCGCACACGCCATAGGACATAACGGATTTAATCTGCTGCCATTAAAAGCAGCCTCAGATTTACAGTGGAGGAGACTCTTCATTTGCCAGATAGCCTATTAAATCAGATGACTCCCAGATTGGAAATGGAGGTTAGAGGAGGAAGCACCTCATGCACCAAAAAGAGGGACACTCTGAACCAGCTAAATTAGCTTCTGTTAGTATAAAGTGAAATCTGTTTGAGGTGCTTGGATACACTTGAACTAATTTAAATGTCTAAAAGCGACAGCTTCCTTCAGCTGTCTGTCTTACACTCTAAATATGCACCGTGCAGTACTGTCATCATGTTGCAGAGATCTGTTTCAATTTCAGCAAGGTATTGTCAGGAGACATTATGCAAACAATTGCGGTACATTCTACACCCTTGATCCCGATAAACATGCTATTCAGAACATGAGCACATCAACAGATGCTCAGAACCTCCTAGAGGTCTGTTTAACAAAATACCCTTCATGTTATGTTTAGTCCTGGGTTTTCTGTTTTCAATTCTCCAACATTGATGGGAAGATAAGAAACAGTGCAACTGCAACTTAAAACATAATTGCTGAAGTGTATGGATATGCAACAATGTTTTACAGAAACAAAATGGTAGAAAAAGGTAAAATGGCAACGTGCTGATAAAACATGGGGATATAAATTAATAAGAAGCCATATGCTTTGTTGTTAAAAGCTCTATTTTTCTAACTCTATGCTCAATTGCTTGCTATTTATTTTTCTGTATTTTAGTATCTTACATTAAAATTTGCAAGGAAACTTAGAATTTTTGTTTCTGCAAAGTGCCTTGAGATTACATTTATTATGAATCGGCGATTTATAAATAAACTGAATTGAGGCATTTTGTTGAACAAAGAAACAATTTGACTGCTTATAAAAAGAATAAAAGGCACTGAAAAACTAAGCAACTACATGGAGCAATGAAATTAAAATGGTCGCTAATTAGGATACACTAAAATAAGCTGCAGTAATTGGTCATTATTCACGATGCATACACTTAAACACTTGGTTTTGATGTGAAACTTACACTAAAAACATGTTTTTGTGTTATTTTTTCTTTTTTTTGGTCAACTGAAAACACATTTGCTGTATCTACCGCCGCTGTTCGCACGCTTACCCTCCTCCGTCATGGTGCTCATTGGGATACAGGTCCATCTCTGTGCCGGGTAGAGGGTGAATCGGGGGAGGGGGCAGGGGAACATTGGCCCAGTTGGAGCCATTAGCTTTGGGAGGTTTAGATCCAGCCTTGGTTTTCTTCTTCTTTCCTCCTTTTCCACCTGCACGAAGGAGACCATTCATTTAACCGACATAGTCACTGAAAATTACATTTTATTAGAAAATCTATTGAAACGTGACAAATAGGTGGGGGAGGCAATGTAAATAACAGTAAATGCTGTTGTGTGACAAATGTGCATTCTAAAAAAAAAAAAAAAAAACTCAATTTGGTGCAAACATGCTGCTTAGATTACAAATCCATTTGCACTCACTTTCAGCATACCGCTGGAAAGTCATACACAATTTCAAACACAAGATTTCAATGGGCTCTCCGCCCGTCTCCGCTTACACAGAAAAGCTCAAGGCCGCCTGATGAAGGATGAAAAGCATGCTCCTATTGATTGATTGGCTGAAAAGCCTCAAATCTCCATAGAAACAGAAGAGAACGGCAGTTAATGCGGCAAAGGCAGACCTTTGTGCTCCACCCATCCCTCAGTGTCCCCTTTAACACCAGGCTTTGGGTCCCCACAATGAAATATCTCACTTCACGGCATCATTATAATGAATGGCTTGTGTAGTGTCAGTGTGTCCCTAATGGAATTCACTGAGAGTCTATTACTACTTTCATTTCTTTTATTACACCGGAGAGCTGCTAACCCCATCTATTTCCACTCATAACCCTCCAACACCAAATTCTCCACTGTCACATCCATCTTTATAAATCTGCCAGCCAGGTCAATACCAAGTTTTATATGATTTGGTCACATCGCAAGCAATGCTTTTATTTTCTTTGGAAGATATTTGACTTTAATCTTGGATCCGGTTTTAGGTTCATATATGTACAGCAAAAAAAAGATTCCAAAAGGCTAAACTATACCAGGGTTGTTTATTTCTTGTTACTATTATAGCATGTTACAGTTTTTGAAAATTTTTCTGTGCTCGGATTTTATATATCTCATTTAACAGATTCAATCAATCAGTTACACTACTTCTTTTTAAAACAGCTTTACCTTGGTTATTTTCTATGCATGTAAGTTGTATTAGTACTTATTGTGTCTTTGTTTCCTGTTATGGTAATTTTGTTTTTAATTTGAAGCCCTGTTGAAGAATTTCTGTTACTTTTGATTCTGTCTATTTATCTCCCTCTTTTCTTTAATAAATAGAATCTCATAACAAATTTGAGGTCCTTGATTTTTATGTGAAAAATTGCGATATTAAAGTATTTAAAATGTGAAAATATTGATAACTATTACATTTTTCAGACTGAAAAAATGATTAATTTCAATATATTTTTTAACCTAGTTAAAGTTACACACATAAAAACTAGTTACACCAAAAGCGTCATTGTATATCGCAGTGGCTGATTACAGTAAATGTTTTTCACAGGCATCAACTAGGAAATTTAACAAGACTCTCTTTTACAAGTTATGTCTGTTTTTGTCTTTTTGTTACACAAAAAAATGTTAAATAAAAAAAAAACTAAGCTAACCACAACAAATACAAAAAGCAGTTTTCAAACAACGATTTCATGTTTAAAAAGGTTAAAATTTCTTATTAGAAACTTCTTTGCAGATTCATTTTTAACTCAGGTCCTGTACAAATGGAGACAAGTGCCGTATTGTTTTGTAAACGGTTAAAAGAATGTCAGGATCCGGCACCACATAATGTAATGGGTATGCCGGGCCTATCGGTGGTGCTGTCGCACACCCGCAGAAAGATACAAAAACCACATCACAAAGCCAATCATGGTGCCACAGGACACCATGTTTCGAATGATTCAATGATTGAGATCATTGTTTAGAAAAAGCTGAATCTCGCATGGCCACATGGAAACATGAAACCAGAATTCTGAAAGTTATTCACTCTTGAAGCCAGTTTCAAAAATATTTCAAAAAATCATTTCCGGTCTCCCAATTTGCTGAATCAGTGACAAAGAAAAAATTTCTAGATCTAAGTTATCTCTATGCAGATGGGGTCTTAATCTGAAGAACTTTGACTAGGCCACACTGAAACTTCTAACTTTTTTTTTTTTTGTAATTCTGCGATGGACTTGTTGCTTGATTTGGATCATTTTCTTGCTGCAGAACCCATATATGGCGATAGCTGGATATCCTTCTCCAGGATTTTCTGGTGGAAAGAAGAATTTAAGGTCATCAAGGTTCTGAGATGCTCTGAAGCAGCAAAGCAGCCTCACACCTTTACACTACCAGCAAATTTGCCTGCTGATGTCACTATGGACTAAATTTGGAGTAAATTTGTGAAGGTTGGTCCTTCTTGATGTTTGCCCCCTTTTTTTTTTTTTTTTTTTGGTAATTTCTCTCACTCTGGTTGACTGGAACCTTAAGGCCTTAGAAATGACATTGACCCTGACATTGGGTCTGTTCTTAAATTTCTGTTTTGATTCTACAGGTCAAGCTGTAATCAGGACCGGGTGAGGCCAGTGAACTTGAACTTACCTTTGCTCATTCTTTAACAAAGATGATTAATTCCCCCCACCCCCCGAGCCTCTGGTCTGCTATTGTAATTAGTTAAAATGATACTAAAAATTTGATGCAAGAAATAAATAAAAAATATCTGTAAATGTAAAATATTTTAATTTTATGTACTGGATTTTCAGTCGCAATATTATTTAGGCTCATCTCAAATTGAACACAACATTCAACTTCTGTAACTTGGTTCTCCAAGACAAGTCAATAGAAAATTGTACATTTTATTTCTTTAATGCTGGGGAAATTCTAGGGAAAGATTGTGAGGGATGACCTGAAAAAAGAAAGAACCTGAACTGTTTGGTTCACTTGTTTCAGCTGAGGACATGTTAAGTGTTCAGCTCAGTGCAAGATGGGGGAAAAGTCTGTAAAGAGGAACAGTGAGGCTGCCAGGCCCAAAGTTAGGAGGTCCAACAGCAGCAGCACAGCTCCAGCCTGTTGACTGGAATAATTTGAGATTTTATAACAAAAAAAAAAAACAGAAAATTGGGTACAAGTTTTTTTTTTTGATACAAGCATTGACAGTAGATGAAACTGACAGTACAAAAAGTGCTGCTCATGTTGGCTGCAACCTTTACAATAAGATGGTTCATCTACAGAGACATCAAGAGGGGTAGTATGTGTTGTGAGGAATAAAAAAAGTAGAAAGAGGATAAATAATTTAAATTCCCACAAATTTTAAAGACTCACTGAAAGACCAGAGCGTGCAAAATCTGAAGCTGAAGATATGCAGCCAAATGTGATAAGAAAAAATCCCCCAAAAAGCAAATCATAGTTTGGACCTATGTATTTATCTGTAAGTACATGTTTTTACTTACAGTTAAGTGAAAATATATAATCCAATGTAAAAAAAAAAGAGGAGATTTATGAAAGAGGA